GTATATATATATATATATATATGTATGTATATATATATATATATATATATATTGCAGAAAATGAAAGTTATATTTTAGTTCTTTAAAAAAAAGATAATCATTTCCTGAATATTAATCCAATTAAACCATTATTTCACTTGAAATTATAAGATAAAAAGGAGCAATTTCGAATAAACGAGGACGAGATAGCATTACCGGATAGCAAAGTTTTCAAAAATAGGATAGAAAAAATAATTATGAGTCAAACAAACAATAGCATTATGAATTTATGATGTTGATCAAACTTTGTCTTCCCAAATACGGAGAACAATTAGTCAAAAGATTTCTCAATTTTTATACAAATAAAATGAAGTTTCCTTAATAATAAACAGAGTAGCAAATACTGCTAATTAAGTTAATGGTTATATTCCTAATATAATACGGAGTAATAAAAAGATCCTTAAAATATTTCAAACACATAGTACTGCGAATCTCTGATTGTCATCTTCCTTAAATAAAGCTCCGATTAACCCACCTGCTACAAAGAGTCATAGTATACCGGAGTACTCCTAAAATATGTCATAGTTTAAATTTTTGTTCAAACTGTATTATCATTTGACCATTAATTAAAGAGAAATTTACCTAAGTAGGACTAAAACATAATGACTTTCCCAATATAAGACCATATGTTTTTATTTCCCAATTTAGGACCTTTGGTCATTATCAAGTAGTCATTATTCAACTAAATGTCCATCATTACTGGACATTATTCCTTCAATTAGGTCATTATTAAGTCTTATCTAGGGAATAAAAAAGTTTAAGTCCTACATTAGGAAAGTCATTATGTTTTAGTCCTATTTAGTGCAAATTTCACTTAATTAAATATAGTTTAAAGTAGTTAAATATTAAAAAAATTGATAGTTCAGAATTATATATATTAAGCTAAATCAAATTTTACTAAAATTATAATATAATTAAATACTCTCTCCGTCCCCCATAGATCTTCTCAATAACCCTTTTTCTTTGTCCATCATAGATCTTCTCATTTCATTTTTTAATAATTAAAATACAACAGCTACCTTCACTTACTTTATTTATTACATCTTACCAACCTTATTTAATACACTCCACCCATTTTAATTAAGGTTATTATGGTAAACTTTCACCTTTTTTCAACTCTTCTTAAAACAACAAAAAGTCAAAATGAGAACATTTTAGAGAGATAGAAGGAGTATAATTTTTTCTTTAAGTCACGATAAAAGAATACTACAGTTAGGGATGTAAACAAATCAAATATTTTAAATTCGATTCGCGATTCGTATTCGAATATGATGATTCGAATTCGTGTTATTCAAATACAAATTAAAATTCAAATATTTTTTTTGATTCGAATAATAATCAAATACAAATACAAATAGAGATATATTCGATTCGGATTATATTCGAATATTCGAATATATGTGTATATACACAGACCATGTTTTCAACATCAAAAGTCAAGAAAAGTAATATAGTATAAAATGTATTTAAAATCCTAAGAATTTAATAAATTAACGTAACACAAAAATCTAAAGCATATGATTTTTAATAGTTATATTTTATAAAATATAATTTGTGTAAGATGCAAATGTATTAATGTTTTTATATACGGAATATATATAGTATAGTATAAAGAGTATCGTAAGTTAAATTACAAATTGATATTAGTCTATCATATAAATTACATAGCATGATTATTCAAATATTCATTTATGATTCGATAACTATTCGAATATTAATCAAATACTTATTCAAATCTTATTTTGAATTCGTCTCATATTCGGATTCGGATTCGTATTTGAAAAAAATTAAACAAATACAAATTCAAATATATCGGTATTCGCTTCGATTCGGTTCGGTTCGTTTACACCCCTAACTATAGTTTGACTAAAAAGATCAAGCTTTGTCGATCTTTTAGGAAGGGAGTAATATTTAATGTTTGACTGTTGCGAAGGTTTAAATGTTTGACTGTTGAAATGCGTTTGTGATTCGCGGCGTACGGAGTATAACTTTACTACCCGGATATGACGGAGTACGTACTCAAAATTAATTAAGGTAATACCAAGTTTTCAATTATTTAGGGATATACCATAATTGAAAACATATACGGAGTATAGTACTTGAAAATTTATAATGAACGGATAAAGTGCTTATTATTATTATCATTGTTATTTTTATTGTTATTATTGTTATTATTATTATTATTAATTCATTATAATTATTATTAGTGTAATTGTTGTTGCTATAATAATAATAATAATAATAATAATAATAATAATAATAATTACTATAACTATTATTGTAATTATTACGGAGTACTGTATTATAATTATTGATTTAGCATGTTCACCATTTCTTGGTGTGATCAGTTTTTTAAAACTTTGTTTTGAGGGCGAATTTTTTAAACATACACCCGAGTATTAATTTCATAGCGAGTTGTATGTAATTATGTATTTTAGTTTTAAGTTAATTAAGGTATATATTTTTTTTTAGATATTATTGGTCAAAGTTTGCAAAGAGAAAAAAGGAAAGATAATCTAAAGGATCAAATGAGATCAATTAAACTACTAAAATCATGTACTCCGCGTATACCTTCCTCCTAATTAGCCTCGGGTAAATTTAATTCCGGTGATGAGAAGTCTATTTAAATCCTTATATTATTTATGAACTTCATTGTTGTTAGTTAAGGTAGGGTTCTTTTTTTTTTTGTTTCTTCCGACAAGCTTTTTTGTCTTCCTTTCTAATGAATTTGGTAATGTTACAATAATACATATATTTACACTCCTAGTTTTATATTTGGGCATATATAATCAATCCATGTTTATACATTTTGTTTAATACTTACATATATAATCTTCATGTTTTTTTTTCTGGTTTTCCTGATGCAGAGCGATGGGGCGTGCCAAGCTAAACTTGAGGCTAATCCCAAATGCAAAACAACGAAATTTGACGTTCAAGAAAAGGAAGGAGGGAATATTGAAGAAAATGAAGGAGTTCACAACGCTTTGCGACGTGAACGCGTGCATAATCATTTACGGGCCCCAGTCGTCCGAGCCCACAATTTGGCCGCCACAACGCTCCGCGGTTGAACGCATGATCGATGCGTACAAGGAGAAGGGCTCGGACAACGGGACCCGGTCCTACGGGTTGCCCGACTTCTATATGGGCCGAAAGAAGAAGGTCGAGGGAGAGGTGAAGAAGTTGAAGCAGAAGAAATTGGAGGCCAAGTACCCGACTTGCCCGGAGTTGCTCGACGGCTTGTCGAAACCCGAATTGGAGAGCTTTGTGAGCTTTTTGAATGGGAAACTTAGAGCTTCAAACTCTAGACTTGAGATGATCAATGGGATGCTCATCAATGATAACCATATCAAGCAGTCACAAGAGGAACCACTCTTATTGTGTCATTTTCATGAGGATGACTACTTGGTTAATAATAACAACATTAATTTCTATGATCCTAATTTGGAAAATTTAGGGTTTGGCAAACCACTGCAACAAGTAATGCATGTGAACAACTGCAACGTTCGTCATCCAAATGGTACTCCCGGTGACTATCCAATCAATTACTATGGATATCCAACGGTTAGGATGACGAACGTTGCAGCAGCGCACCCAGGCGGTGGGGGCTTGCATTATGGAGACGAAAACGGGCACCGGATCGGGTACGGGCAACAGCAGGAGATTAATTGCTTGTACGATCAACAAGCATCGTTGCCACATCACCAATATTACATGGACCGCCGAACCATGCAGCTGGCAGTGGCGCCGCCAGCGTACATGGGCGGCAGTGGAGATTTGCCGCCGTTGCCGCCTTCATGTTATTTCGGGTCCTCGTTGACTTCTTTTTATCTGGAGGAGGAGGAGAACCAAAGCAGTGAGATCACATCCGCATTACTCCCGGCGATTGCAGCCGCCGGTAACGGTTGTTTGCCGCAGTTTGCGGCTTATCATCAGGTACCGGCCGCCGGGAGCAGTAGCAGTAGTTTTAACCGTTATTATCAGGTCACCAATCAGATTAAGAGGTACTAGTTAGTTGTTTAGCTTAGCTCTTTTTAGTTACGTTGGGATTTAATTTCATTATTATTGTCGTTGATTTCTTGTTATTAGGGAGTAGTATTAGATTAGATACTACTTCGTATTAATTATAAGAGCTTAATCACATCATTATTAGAGCTTCAGTTCATGCTATATATGATGTAATTTTTTTAAGACAGGAATAATACATATATATACTCGTTGTCTAATTTCGGTAGGTTAGAGAACAGATAAATCTTTGCTATCTAAAGTTAGGAGTTTAGGACTTTTTCCATCCGTTGAACACACAACACATAATTTTTTGCTGCAGAAAGCCAAATCTATCTGCTATGTAAAATCATTTTTTTATTTATTAAAAAAATAATAATTCCTTTGTAAAAATGAGAAGTGTTTTATGGGACGGATGAAAAAAGAAAGGAGAAATGTTTTATGGGACGGAGGGAGTATAATATATCCCTCCGTCCCTTGAAAAGTTCTCGTTTTGAATTTTTGAGAATTTAAGAGGGGTGTATTTTGGTGTTGACTTTCCAAAAATGCACTTTGATGTGATGGATAAAGTAGAATGTGATGAATAAATTAATAGAGAAAAAGTGTGATGTGATAGGTAGGTTAAGAATTAGTATGGGTAAAAGTGACTTTTTAAAAGGAAAAGAGAAGTGTTTTTTGAGACGGATGAAAAAAGAAAGGGAAACTTTTTTGCGGGACGGAGGGAATATTTCAATTTGGGTTAAATAGACACAATTGACTTTAATTACTTTTCTTAAATCTAACCGAACCGATCTCAACTACCATATACGTCCTACCCATTTTGATATTTCTCGAGCCCTACTCGTTTCAATTGTCGTCATTTTACTTTGGTCAAACTTTAACAGTTTCTCGAGCCCTACTCGTTTCACAAAAGTAAAATTATGTGATTAAAAATTATGTAGAAAAGAGAAAGATGCTAAGCCACACAAAATTCACCAAAATTGAAAGATGAGTCTTTTTTTGGAACGTCCCAAAAAAAAATGAGAATTCTTTTTTTGAGACAGAAGGAATATTTAAAACGATAAAAATTTTAGATAAGGAATATCTTTACAAAAATTGTAAAGACTATCTTGCGATACCTTATGTGACATCTTTCATATACTTATCCCAAATATCATTAGGCGTTCTGTAAGCTAGTGACGAATAGCACTCTTATACTTTTATAAAGATGTGAAACATTTCACACCTCTTGCATCCGACCGTTGTCGAAAGAATTCGAAATTCCCCTTCACATATGGTTTACAATTGATTTGAATTGAATAAAGTGCAAATCATTCATAAACAATGCTTAGAATGTGCCTCTCTTTAAATCAGTTTTTTCCAAAAACAATCTTCAATTAGACACTTCTTCGCACCTTCATTTCACGATCCCAATTGAACCGTAACTGTTGTCTACTCTCTCGATTCAAACCTTCTTCCCCATTGGCTATGGTAGTTACCGACTTAATGTAGCTTGAACGCAAATTAGAAACATACATGTTTCATCGTCGGAAGACGATGATCGAGTAATCTCTTCCTCCAACTCTTTTTTTGTGAAAATAGATGAATGAGTTTTACAATTTTTTTGAGAATATAATAGGTTTTTTTGGATACTAGATGGTGTGTTTATGAGTTTTTATAGGTAAAAAATATTTTCCTTTTATTAAAAGCCTAACAGCTAAAACATCTAAAAAACCAAACAAAGAATACTCATGGACAACTGCACCATCGAATAAAAAGCCAGGCAAAACCCGTGATTATCATCACCTTTGAAGCATCACACCACCCATGTCACGATGGTCGCGTAATTACAGGGCGTGACGTAAGTCATAAGACCCTAATCACGTCCCATAACATACGGCCTTATAATCTCTCACTCATCGCGAGGGAACGGATTCAATTCGTCAAAATAAAAGAGACGTATGGGTCATGGAATGGGGATGGGAGTGAGTTGATTATAGCCATAGATCTTTCTCTTTTCTTTTTCTTTTTTTTTTTTGAATATTTTGTTCACATTCATTAAAGAAAGGTAGTACCTTAGTACATCCGTGAAGCAGATATAAAATCAGTAGTAGTAGTTTTTGATTCATTGATCTTTCCATCACACATGAACTCTGGGATAAGAGTTGTACACCCAAAAGAACACGAACAAGTCAACATGCACATATAAAAAGAAAAGGCTATGAAACACCTAGATCTAAACTCCTGCATAGATTTGGGAAAAAACTTGCACAAAGCCAAGAGAACAAACCGAAAGAACAGGTTTAGAAACATATATAACCAGGGAGAGGTTCAGCATGCATCGTGATGGAGCCTAACCAAAGAATATGCCTTTTCTGGGCAACTAAAAATACTTAATTGGTTGAAGGATGAAGACTCGGATCTAATTTTAAGAAATGGAAGTTATAAGAAAAGAGATTTACCAAACCGTTCCTATACAATTCAGTCACTAAAAACAGTTGAACTCCAAAGAATTTCCCAAAACCCCTATGATAGTTGATGATGACAAAGTAGGGCAACGTACCAAGACATCTGCTAATATGAATATCTAAGAAATGTCCATTAGAAAGCTTATAGTTTTACATGATACTGACACATACATACAATGAACAAATGACTTTAATACATGAAGGAAGTCAGGCTGAAAATAGGCATATAAGCGGTGAGAGAAGATTTTGCCTATTCCAAACAAAAAAAAAGGATGTAAGCTGTTACCTGCTAATGCGTATGTATGAGTTCAGGCTAAATATGTTGTTGCATTTCACTGCAGATACTTTCCTGGCCAGCTGCCGTTCATAAGAAAGTAAAGTCAAGAAACACACAAAACCTGTAAAATGGAATGACCAAATAAAAAAAACTTAAACATAATCACAAGCAGAATAAATCTAAAGTATATACTCCACCCATCCCAAAAAAGGACATGTTTCACCAAGATGCAATTTTTTTAGTAAGGTACCCCTCATAGAAATCATCTTTCATAGTTAAATTTTAAAATAGATTTATTCCTTTAACTAAATTCAACATGTTTAACTTATTTGTGACACTATTTTTTGAATACATTGAATTTGATGAAACTTGCTTCTTTTGTTGAAATAAGACTTTGTTTTTGGGACAAAAAGAAAACTTTTGAAGTAGAACATTTTTGGGGGACAGACAATACAAGCCATGTTGATTTAAACATTAAAAGGATACTACCTCCGTCGATATGTGCCAAAAAATGTCTCGTTTGACAACTACACAACCTTTTAATTTTGGCAAGATGTAAGTGTCATAAAGCATGAATCACAGGTTTGTTTGATGAAACTAGCCTCTTTTTTGGACAAAAAAAATGTTTGAAACATAACTCAGATAAAGGCAGTGAAAAGTTATCCTTACTTGATACAGAGGAAGTTCTCCAGGTTGTCTCTAGAAAGCTAAAGGTTCAATGAACAAAAAGAGATCACTTATTCCCAACTGATGACACACTATCAGTGTTTGGAGGCTGTGCTGGACTTCCTGCAACTGCAGTTGGCATGATTGACACAGGAGCAGCCATTGATGACACTATGGGTCTTGAAATTGGCGGCCTTGTAGAGTTCATGCCAGTTAAAGGCCTAGGTGCTGCTGCAGGAAAAGCCAGTCCTGGCTTGTTGGCAGGCTGCATTGGCTGTGACACAGGACGATTTGAAGTTGCAGACATGCCTAATCGGGTTGCAATTATATGTGCTCTCTCGTGGAAAAGTTTCTGTTTTGACCTTTCTAACTGTTCTCTAACTCTTCCCAAGGTGTTCTCCATTTCACCGTAGAAAGTTAACTTCGTCTCTAGCTTATGTAACTACAAAATAAGCAAATTTGTTACCAAACTTATCTTTGCAAATACTGTATAAAAAGCATGAACCGGAATCCTGATGCACAGCAGAATCAAATACCCTGATATGTAATCAGCCAGCAAAACCAATGTCCGTATAGTGTTAAGGAACATGACGGAAAAGGCAACAATGGTACATCTTCTAGTAAGATACGCAAAAAGGTGGGTTGATTAGGAATTAGTGCTACCTGTTTTTCTATTACAAATGTAGCAAGTTTCCGAATCTGATCTTCTTCTTGACCAGCAAGAAACTTTGCTTTCACTGCTGCAGCTGACAAAGCAGTGACTGCAGCACGCTTAATCTTAACTATATCGCAATCGCTTTTGGCATCCGAAGCATCTTTCTTCACAGTCTCGTTGTCCTTTTCTTCACCTACAAGGAAAAATATATAAAAATAAAAACTCAAATATAAGAGCTAGTTGGAGGTATTTATTAATTAATTCATAACAATAAAACGTAGTAGTAGTAGTAATAAAATATTAATAATAATAATAATAACAATTTGTCTCTTGGAGCATTTAATCTAAATCTATAAAGGGAAGTGATGGGTGAACATATTGCCTTTTGGTTTATCTTTGTTTTCAACCAGCGAGATGGATTCTTCGGGCTCTCTCTTTTCTATACCAGGCATCATATCCTCGTCTTTTGGAGAGTCTAGAGTATGAGAAGGTATGGCTGCTGACGCAACAGCATCACATTCCTTTGATGAACTGGAAGGAGGATCCGCTTTTAATTTAAGAGAATCTAACCCATCAGCAGTACTTGGTGCTTCTTGCTTTTGCATATCTGCTTCATCTCTTTCATTTCCATGAAGAGAATCAATCTTTCCATCAGTTTCCTTTCTGGCATCATTTTTTTTTAAATGTTCACAATGAGAAGATAGTGTTTCTTCTCTGAACCCATTTGAATTGCTCTCTCCTGATTCTCTATGTTTCTTCTCCTCCACGGTTTCTCTCTTTTTGTCATTTTCTTTTACATGGTTGTTCTCATTACTCTGTTCAACAGACAAATCAATATTACCAGTTTCTGAGGTAGGCTCTTCATGCTGTGCTTCGGGCTCAGTCTGTTCAGTGACAGCTCTGCATATTTTATAAGCATCGCTTATAATATTATTCATTTCAATATTAGTTAGTTAACAACTGCCGATAAAAAGGTTCACAAACCTATCAGAGTTAGATGATTTATTTTCATCAGAAGGATCTTCTAAAAGAAAACAGTGCCTGGCAGCTAATTGCTCGCCGGAAACAGCTCTCAAAGAATTACGCACTGAAGCAGTAGTTACATTAGATTCCACCAACTTCACTAGGAAAGCTGCCTGAGGTGAAAAACAGAGTTATTAGATGGCTAAAACAAGTTCCATAGTTTGGTTCACATATCTGGAAAAATTTGGTTCTAAGCTTAATGCACCGCACAAATCTTAATGGGACCTTTGCTAGAATAAAGGGAAATTCCAGATGCCTCTATTTTAAAGTAGCATCATTTCCAAAATGGAATTTTAATCTCCCACTCTATAAACTATAATAGCAATAATAAAGATGTCTTGGGTGTTCAAAGGTGGAGAAGAGCTATCTTGGGGGCAGATCCGTTTTGGATATCATCATTTGCCCAACATGCAAAAACATAATTGGAATTTGGGAGATGCAATTATATCAAACAATAGCACAACCACATGCAGAACTTTTTGGTGTATTCAAGTGGATCCAGGTGAAGGAACCATGTCTGCACAACCTCAACACCAGTACATTGGAAGAGTCCCAATAGATTTGGAAAAAGGGTCTAAATTATTTTTCTTCCTAACAATCGTGTGAGTTTAGAGGAAGGAAGAGGGATGCAATCTTACATCTCTTTCAAAATATTTTCAGGATATCATGGAGTGGAATAAAATTTCATAGAGAACAGAGTTTTTAGTCCATCTCGAGAAAGATTGAATGGGGGAAAAACTATCATACCAATGCCATTACAGGATTGCCTGCTTCAGCAAATGAAACGTGTTCTCCAGGTGAAGGAAAATAGCCGACAGCTACAAATGCTTCCCTAAGAGCTTCAAGTGCACAGTTCTTCCCATATTGTTCTTTAGCATTTGAATCATTTACATCATCCTGCTTTGAAGTTACAATCGAGGGTGATGAAGGCTGATTCTCATTTCCATCATTCTTATTCTCTGTTCCCTCAAGGCTGCCTTTAGAAGCAGAACAGTCATCATTAACAGAAATGCCGTCAATATCAAAAATGTTATCATTTTTGTTATCTTCATCCAAGAACATATCCTCTATAGGCATTTCAACAAAATGCAAGATGCACTGTGCTTTTGTCTTTGTTGCAACATGCTCAGCGATCTCATTCCAGTTATCTTTGAAAAGTTCTAATGCTTCAAGAAGAAGGAGAGTTTCCTGATCGGTCCACTTTCCGCTGCTTGCACCCCCAGTCTCGGCAGGCTCCATGAGGATGAAATCTGAGGGGGCCATATCAGTCCCAAATTTTCCGTTGTTGAAGCATTCCGTACATAAATCAAAATCAGCCTGTATAGAAAATATCGAATCAGCACAGAGGAAAGAGTTCACATTTGAAAAACATAGCTCAAAAGTCAAGACCATTCACAACTAGGGTTCCTGTAGTGAAATGCTTATAATGTTACTACAAATTCCAAACAGTGTTGGATAGATATGATTTTCCTTGAGTCATACAAAGAGGAGAAAAAGAATAGAAAAAGGCACATAGAACAAGATTGAATGCAACTAATCTGCACTCTCCGACATCAAGAAGAACTTTCTGCATCTTTAGATGATGAAATGTGTTGCTTCAATCAGCTGAAAATCTTAATATACAAGAAGAAAAGTTTCAAAAAAGATAACACCAATGTCACCTGCTTCTGACAATGATAACGTTTTCGGGAGCAATCGCCTGAGCAAGAGTTACAGTGGTACTCAACCGAAGGTCCCTCAGACTTCACCAATTCTTCCATCAAAGTAGACTCGGAAAATAGTCCAGATGTCAGGGCTTGAGGAGCCATGTTCGTCTTGGGGACAACTGGTGTCCATGTTTCCTCGGACTCAAACCGGAACAACTTATCCAGCAATGAATCTGCCTTTTGTGCTTTCTCTACATCAGTATCCACATTCATAGCAGAATCAGGTTGAGGGAAAGGGTGGTAATTGATCAAGCCCCAGTAGTCCAGAAATTCCATCACCTCTTGCCTTGCATCCAACACGCCAGTGGAGAGCTCGGACAAATCCTTCAATTCAATACGAGTGTTGGGGTCTGCGTGACACTTCCTCATGATCCAGTTACGTATCTCCATGTACATTTCAGGGGTCCTGTCCGGGGACTTCCCGTTAAAGAAGGATGGCATTGTTTTCTCCTCCAATGAATGAATTTTTATCCAAGAAAACCAGCCTGCAGAGTTATAGAGGACCACTATATATATAATCATGGAATGAAATGAGCCTTTCCTTTGTACTCACAATGAATTAGAAATTAAATGAAACAACAAAGGGAGGGGAGGAGTGGCGGATTTTTCAGGTAAAGAAAAAAACACTTTCTAGGTCAGTAATTATCTATAACTAAAATCAAATTCAACAATTAAAACCAAAAATCAATCAAGGATAAGCTAAGTAAACAAAATTCCGAACTCACCAGCATGACTGGGAACCACATGGGCATTAGCATCTCGAGACCTAATTAATTCAAATTCAGCTTCAAGTTTTGCCTCAATTGCCTCCAAATCATCCTTGGCTTCAATTGTCACATCCTCGGCCTTCTCAACCTCTTCTGGTCCTGCTGTTGGAAGCGCCGCGGCATTTGCCTCGCTTTTGACACCTGAGTTTGATGGAGACGACACAGATGCGGTGTTGCTGGGCAGCTGTCGAGCTCTGGTGCACGGGCCGTGGTGGATCGGAGGGAAGGGAACCGCAGGACTCTTTTCTCTAGCCTGGCGCTTCGAAGAAGTAGAAGGAGGAGCCGAACTTCCACCGCTGCCTAAGGCGCTTGCCTTCCTCTTCTGACCACCGCCCCTTCTCCGAGAAGTGGGTTGGTCCGCAGGTGGAGCCTCCGCCGCCTTCTGCGGGGTTGAGAAGGTTGCTGCCGGTGGACTTCCGATATCTTTAAGCTTCTCCTCCATGTGAAACACTGGTTGCAGAGCTCCACCGAGATCGTCGACTTCCCAGATATGCACATTGGGGAAATGAAAACGCACCCCGTAACACTTCGGTGTTTATACATTGTTCTCTATTTTCTATTTTTAAGTCGTTGCACTTTTATTTGGTCAAAACAATTTTTTGAAATATAAATAACAAATTATAAATATCTAATTAACACGATAACATCATGATTTATATTTTAGTCTTATTCAGTACAAATTTTATTTTATTGATTTAAGTGAAGATACAATACTCCATAAAATAAAAAAACCAATCCAAAATAATAATAAAAACAAAAAAACATCACTAATACAGAGAAGAAAATACAATTCAAAACAAAAAACTTAAATACCTTTCCGTCCCAAAAATTCATTTCCTTTTCTTTTTTTTCTTGTTTCACAAAATTCTTTTTTTCTAATAACAACTATTTTTATCTCTATTAATTTTTAACCTACCTATCACATCATATCTTTTTATTAATCATCTAACAATCACATCTTATTTTTACCCATCACATCAAAAGTATTTTTTTGGAAAGTCAACACAAATTTATCACTCCCTTAAATTTTCTAAAAATCAACGAAAGCATCTTTCTGGGACAAAGAAGTACAACACTACTAGAAAAAATGCAGAGTAAATTAAGATAATGATTTAAATAATTAAATGAGTATAAAACTTGTAATCATTATTTTAAAATGGGGGAAGGTTCAAGTGACATTGAACCTTGATGTCATGGATGACCCGAGGGCGTTCCGGTGCCCCGTTCGTAAAATTGACGGTTTCTACCCCCCTAACCCCCCGGTAAACCCCCCACCCGGCCCTGGCCCGAACACACCCCCCCACCCCCTTCAATTGCACTCCACGAGTTGATTTTGACTTTGGAGTGCAGTTGTTGGCCATGTGTGCAGCAATTGTCCCGTGGCGAAGGCTATGTGGGCCAAGTCACAATCGAATATCGTGGGCGCTTGTGTGATGAATGCACTATAAGGCTAGGGTATGCGCTTCTTCTAACACCAATTGGTTTTAGAAGAGTTGGTAGCGCCTGAGGTCATACAAGTGGTATCGGAGCCAAGGTCACGAGTTCGATTCCTAGCGGGAGCAATTGCTGAGGGGGAGATTGTTGGCCATGTGTGCAGCAATTGTCCCGTGGCGGAGGCTATAAGGGCCAAGTCACAATCGAATGTCGTGAGTGCTTGTGTGATGAATGCACTATAAGGCTAGGGTATATGCCTCTTCTAACACCAATTGGTTTTAGAAGAGTTGGTAGCGCCTGAGATCCTACAACGGCTACGGGCGATGGTAGAGCTGAAGGAGATGGTGGGGTTGGGAGAGATGATGGGAATGACGGCGATGGGGTTGGCAGTGGTGGGTGCTAGTGGAGATGGGAATTGGGCGGCGGTGGTGGGACAGCAATGAAAGGTAGTAAGGGAATTTTAATCATTTTAAGTCCCTAGTCAACAACTCATAAAAATGAAGAAAAATCAAATCGAAAATTTTATTTCCGGAAGGAGGGAGTATTTCTTTATGTTTGTTAATTCAATTCACAAATTATAAGAGGCTAACCAATCTTACCACGTTAATGTTGATAGATTGTCAAATAAAAAATCACCTTATATAGGAGCAAAGAGCCTTATGTTTTTATTCCAAAAATATGAGTTTGTACTGTGGTAATGTGACATTGTATATGAACATTTCACAAAATTTTTTGGTAATGTATATGGTCTTGATTGGCATTATAAATGCATTTTTACTTCAATTTCAAAAATAAAAACACGAAACTCTATTTTGGTATATTTTCAATATTTTTACTCCTATTTTAGTTTTTTTCCCTTGTCAAATATCACAAAAATAACAGAGCATTGGGAGAACAATAGGGATCTAATTTAAAACATAAAAAAACCTAAAGTCCGAGTTTAAAACAGTGGGTTATAGCCATCCAAAAAATTGAAAATAAAAAAAAAATTACACGCCTACTTCCATAAAACAACGTTGGATATGTAAAATGGTTGTTGCACCAAATAGAAATTGACATTTCAAATAGAGCAAAAGAAATGTTACCCAAAATAGAAACTAATCTCTTAGACGTTTCACACACTAGCCCTCTTAATATGAATTTGAGAAATATTGTATTTTGGTCTTCCATTATCAAATTGAATTTGATTTGTTTTTGTAGTGCCTTTTCTTAAATAGCTCTTTTGGATTTTTACATATCGAGGTATGCCCCTCTTGCTTGAACTATATTGCTCTTGATTTATGAATTTCAGTGGAATCCCTATGGGAGCTCTAGTGTTCCGGTAAATTTGTAGAAGTAAATATGATCGATTCAACTCTTACCCTTTTGTCGACGGGTGGTTGATCGTGAACCCTTGTAAATAGTAGCTCTTGGGACCACTTTTTTTTTGAAGTCACAGAGTCACCACCAATGATCTAATTGATGTCATGGTTTCGTTTGATCCACTCAAGAGGCCTTTTCTTTTCATATCGTTCCAATTTTATCGGATGTCCCCGAAGGGACAGGCCTTTCCTTTTCATAATCTTCTTCTCCATTGCTTTCGAGGGCTAGGTATCGTTCGCCTTTGGCGTGCCCAAGGTAAGTCCAAGTTACCTAATTCTCTTTCATTTTTCAACTCTTAGGGCCTTTGGGAGTCGCCTTCTCTATCTCTCTTCTGTTGAACAAACTTCCAGGGGCTCTAGACTAGCCTTTGTAACTCATTTTAACATGTGTAGCAATCATCCGCATTGTGATTGTGTGTCTTATGGTACTTGGTTCTTTGTGTCCAAGCTCACAATATTTAGAGGGATGGCCAACCCTTTGACTATCAAAGAATCCTTAGTTCTTTTTGTTCTTCTATTTCTCCTTAAGATATAAAGGATTTTGTCCTCACTCGTGCGCCCCCAAGGATTTTCTCCTTAAGACTTGTTCTTCAAAGGACGGCCAACACAAGTCTTTCCCGCACATTTTGTCCTCACTCGTGCGCGCCCAATGAATTTCTCAGGGGTCACCCATCCTAAAATTGCTCCAGGTTAAGTACGCTTAACTTTGGAGTTTCTAGGTGATGAGTTCTCGAAAAGAAGGTGTACCTTGTTGGTATGAGTAGTACTATCAATCCTCTTGAACTCTTCTCATTCCCATTTTAATACAGGGTATTACATCATCATCATCTTCTTGTTCTTCTTCTTTTATTTGTCTACTTTTTAATTTTTTTAGTTTTTTTGTTAGTTTTTATTTAATATTTTTTGTTTTTGGTTAATTAAATAATAAAAAAAACGTAAATTATTTTTGAATTTTTTGGTTATTGGGTTTTCTTTTTTTCACATTATGTCAATTTAATTTTAATGAAATATTTTTTTAATGTTTTTATTTTAAGTTATATATATTAAATATATATTTAGAAAATAAAAAAAATTGGGCATAATCCACACCCCTATGATGGGTTGTGATGGAAAAGAGAAAAAATGACATTGCGCTGAGTGGGATGCCGTGATGGACGTGATTGCGTTATCCACACCGTCACAGGTGGATCTACCCTTTGGAATATGGGGGCAGCTACCCCAGTCAATTTTTTTAAATATATATGTATATTTTTAAATTTTATATATAATTGCCCCAATAAAAAAATCTGCCCCAGTCCATTAATTAGCCCAAACCAATTAATTATCTAAAGTTTAAAGATGCAATTCCAAAAGTGGCCCAATTGTCCAAATTTCCCAAAATAAAATTTACTCCCCTTAAAATTATTCTCCAAATTTACAGCTTTCCCCTTCCCTTTGGCGTTTACGGAAACTGAGAAGCAGGAGCATTGGTATAGCCGAAGTGTGGAACACTGGAATCCGAACAGGAGCACCGCCTGTAGCGCCGTCGCCCGGCAGCCACGTCGCCACCAGTCCACCACAGCAATCCTTCGATCTACTATCGCACAATCGTAAAATCGCACTAGCACAAATTCCAGGTATTTCCAAATAATTTTTTTCCTTTTTAAATTATGATCTAAATAATTAGATAAATGTGAAAATAAGATTTATGTGTAATGTGTGAAATTTTTTGGATAATTTTTTTTATCTTTAATTTTTCTATAAAATGAAATTGTTTATTATTGATTATAATTTATAATTATCCCAAAACATATGAATTGATGACTCTAATATCTAAAAAGATATTAATTCTCAATTGATATACTTGAATAATTTGTTCTAATATTTGGACATAGATTTAGTAAAAATGTTTATTTCATTTTATATTTTTAGATAATAGAGAAGTTTTTTAAACGAAAGTCCCGCTCAACACGTGATTCTGGACCATCTCTACCTTCGCTAGCTAAAGAAATAGACCTAAAACATAAAGACTTTCCTAATCTAGGACTTAAATTTTTTTATTCCCTAAATAGGACTTATTAATGTCTTAGTGGAAGGAATTATGTTCAGTAATGATGGACATTTACTTGAATAATGACTAATTCATAATGACCAAAAGTCCTACATTGGGAAATAAAAACATATGCTCCTATATTGGAAAAGTCATTATGTTTTAGTCTTATTTAGGTAAATTGCTAAATTGAAAATGAAGATATTATTGATCGATTTCAAAAGATGAAAACTCGAAGAGAACAATTGTAAGAGATATGTTCTATCTAATTAATTGTACTCCCTCCGTTCTCAAAAACATTTCCTCTTTCATTTTTTCCACTTCCAACAAAACACTTCCCCTTTCTATTAAAAAACCACTTTTACCCTTACTTTTTCCTACCCTACCTATCACATCATACTTTTTCTCTAATAATCTATCCATCACATCTTACTTTTACCCATCACATCAGGGGCAAAATTGGAAATCAACTATAATTTAACACTTCCTTATTTTTGCCCCAAATCAAAATGGGAAGGGTTTTTTCAAACGGAGGGAGTACCTTGTTTTTAATTTAATTTTAATGGAAAGAATGATTGGGAAAATTGAAAATGAAGTTTTTCAATTGAAAATTGAAAATAGTCCTCGGTTTCAATTTTCACAGTGCAGTTTTTTTTGGGATTGTTCAATTGATTTCGGTTCGGTTTTATAGACCCACCCGTACTCTAAATAGATGTAAAACCTAGAGAAATTATTATAAAAAAAGGAGCTCAATATTTTCTCCAAAATAGGAGTATCTATTATGATAATATGATAATGTATATGAATATCTCACAATACTTTTTGGTATTATATATTTACATGATTGACATTGTAAATGCTGACACTGTATATGAACATTTCACAATACTTTTTGGTATTATATATTAACATTATTGGCAATGTATATACATTTTTAACTCATATTTTGAGAATAAAAATATGAAACTTTTATTTCAGTATATCTTATATGTTTGATCTTTTTCCCTATATTTATTTTTTGGGAATTTCTCTGGTGCCTTTGTTAATGAAGGGACATGGGTGCCCTCCCACTAAATTGCTTCCATATGGACTTTTTAGCCACATCATTTTAACTTTTAAAATTGCATAATGGGCCTATCTACACATGCTAATGTCATTTAAAAATATTGTTTTTAAATTGAATCAATCATTCCGTTCCAAAAAAAGTTTTAATTCGATTTTTTAGGATCAAAATTAAAAACTTTGACCATGAAATTTAAAAAACAATATGTTGAATAATAATATAAATTTAAACTATTTGATTTGTCTTTAATTATAATTTTGAAATATTATATTTTTTTATAAAATTTATTAATTATATATATATGTATATATATATATATATAGACACACACACACATACATACATGCATATTAATGGTTAAAGTGTCACATAGAAGACCTAATAGTTTAAAAAGTGTTATCTCACTAATTGAACAACAAAAATCGGTGTTTGAATAATGGCTTTTTCACTTGCCAATCTGATCTGAAAAGTCAAAATTCGGAAAGCCAGAGAGAGTATCTTTTGGACTTGGCTGTTAGAAAAACTAATTTTTTAAAATTAGTTTTCTTGAAAGATATTTCAATATTATATGTAAAAAGATTAAAGTAAAAAAAATTAAAATTTAAAAATTGAAATATCAAAATAAATCTGATGACAAAATCAAAAGAAAAAAATTATTAGAACTTTATATACTCACTCTATCCGGAAATTTTCTTCTCATTTGACTTGTCACGATTTCCAATGTTACATTTTGACCATTAATAACTATATTTATACATAGGTATATTTTATAAAATTTTGATATTTCAAAATTATGATTCATTTAAATATATATATATATATATATATACTCCCTCCGTCCGGTTTTTATGTTCCCAGTTTGACTTTTAGTCATTTTTAGTAAGTGTTGACTAAGGCTATAAAATGACTAGAATGCCCTTACTAAAAAAAGAAGGAAAGAAAGCCACATGCAGTGTAAAGAAGTGAACAAATGAGGAGTACTTTTACTGGTTCCAATCCAAAACAGTAGGGAAGTATGGGCTGATTACATCATATCATCATAACATTACTAAATCATCCAAAAAAACACTCCAATTCCCTCCTATTTTTAGAAAACTACCCGCCCAAACATTCCCAAAATTTTTAAAACAACCTTTCCCCTTGCAGTCCTATAAAAGGTCCCTCTCATTTCCTCATTTAGCAGGTTTTTTTCTTGAATATGTCTTCTTCATTTTCTTGCTGCAGTCCTTCCAATGTATTCGGGTTGCGCTTCATTTCCTTCGGGCTACTGTCGTTGCACGTTTCTTCGGGGCGCTGTTCTTGAACTCTCTTCGGGCTGCTCTTCACTGTCTTCGGGATGCTGTCCTTGCACGTTTCCTCGGGCTGCTGTCCTTGAACTATCTTCGGGCTGCGCTCCATTTTCTTCGGGTTGATATCCTTGCACGTTTGTCCGTGTTGCCGTCCTTGAACTCTCTTCGGCCTGCTGTCCTTGCACGTTTCTTCGGGCTGCGGTTCTTGAACTCTCTTCGGGTTGCTCTTCATTTTCTTCGGGCTGCTGTCCTTGCATCTGTGCTCTTCATTTTCTTCAATTTTGTTGGAAATTGCACTTCTTGGAGGCCTGCAAACACACATGAATACGAAGAGGTTGGAGAACACAACGAGGCAGGTAATCAGTGACACATTACTAGCACATTCAAAGCAAAATCCTAATGGTTCATACTCAGCTCAGTATGGGCATATCAACAAACTTGCTGCACAGTTTAATGTATCTAGAAAAACAGTGAGCAAGATATGGGCAATTGCAAAGAAACAAATAGAGCAGGGGGTTGCCATCGATGTGAGGAGTCGAATGATAGGAAAGAAAGGCAGGAAAAGGACAGTGATGGATGCACAGGCTATTGCAGACACTCCACTCACGAAGAGGACTAATGTCAGATCTTTAGCTGCTGCAATTGGCAAGCCTAAGTCAACCGTGCATGAATGGATAAAAAAAGGTATGCTGAGGAGCCATTCTAATGCAATCAAACCATTCTTAACGGATGCTAATAAAATATCAAGGTTGAGGTTCTGTTTAGATCAAGTAGACCCTTACAGCATGCCCATCCACCCTCAGTTTAAAACTTTTCACAATGTTTTACACATTGATGAAAAGTGGTTTTACATGTCTAAAACTTCCCAAAAATTTTACCTGCTTCCAGGTGAAATTGACCCACACAGAACATGTAAGTCCAAAAAGTTCATAACTAAAGTCATGTTTTTGTGTGTGGTTGGGAGACCACTATTTGCTGAGAGTGGAGAAGTATTGTGGGATGGAAAAATTGGCATTTTCCATTTCACAGAAACAGTTCAAGCTTAGAGGAAGAGTAAAAACAGAGCAAAAGGGGTGTTGGAGGTGAAGCCAATCACTAGTGTTACCAAGCAAGTGACAAAGGATATGCTGACCAAACAAGTCATTCCATGTATCCAAGAAAAATGGCCAGCACAATTATCTAAAGACATACACATTCAGCAAGATAATGCAAGGCCACACATTCAAGGACTGGACTCTGACTTTATGGCAGCAGGTAACACAAATGGATTTCACATCACTCTAAATAATCAACCCCCCAACTCCCCAGATTTAAATGTCCTGGACCTTGGGTTTTTTAGAGCAATCCAGTCTTTAAAAGAACAATGTGCTCCAACCAGTGTTCCAGAGTTATTAGAGGCAGTTCAAAGAGCATATAATGCCCTCAATCCAGAAACCTTGAATAAGGTTTGGTTGACATACCAGCAGGTGTTGACTAAGGTAATGGAACATGAAGGAAATAACAACTACAGATTACCACATATGGGGAAAGATAGACTTGCCAGAGAAGTAAATCTTCCTAAGTCTTTGAGCATAGACCTGGACCTTATTCAGAAGACAGCAAGATTGGTTGGACAACAGAATGGAGGTAGAAATGAAGGAATGGTTGAGTTCAACACTGAAGAGGGAGATGACCACCAATCTTCAGAGTTGAACTAAACACACACTTTTTTTGGGTTTCAGTGTATGTAATTGGTTGCCACTGTGGGTTTTTGGAGAGTGGTTACCACATTATGTTTTGTGGCTTTATGTGTTTGTAAATGGTAGCCACAGAAAACTTTTTGGGTTTTGGGTTTTGGGTTTTTGGGTTTTGGGTCTCACATCAAGGCAACTACACACAATCTACTCTATATGTAACATATGTATAATGAAATACAACTGCCATCATATGCTTATCACTTTTTTTATAACTGTCACTTCATCATTGCTGGTCTAGTTTTATTATTCTCATACATTCATCACAGTAAATGGTCACATAGGGTCTTACAAACAACATAGGGACAGATAGGACACCTAGAGGCAGAGTAAGACCACATAGAAGGTGTAAAACCCTCACTACTCAGAGACATCCTTAAATGGATATATACATTCTCATCACAGTAGGCATCATTGTTCTCAGACATTCATCACAGAAAGTGGTCACAAGAGGGACAGATAACATAGTGTACAGATAGGGCACCCAGAGGCAGAGTAAGACCACATAGAAGGTGTAAAACCCTCACTACTCAGAGACATCCTTAAATGGATACAATCTCATCACAGTAGGCAGCATTGTTCTCAGACATTCATCACAGAAAGTGGTCACAAACAGTCTTGCAAACATTAGAGGGACAGATAACATAGTGTACACTTTGGACAATCAAAGGCAGAGCAAGACCACATATGAGGACTAATACCCTCACTACCCAGCGACATCCTTAAATGGATACATGCTCAACACAGTAGGCATCATTGTTCTCAGACATTCATCACATAGTGTTAATTAAAGACCCTTTTAATGGAAAGCCACATGTAGAATAAAGAAATGAACAATATGGAGTCCTGTTACTATTTCCAAAACAAGGGAAGAGCAGGGACAGTAATTGAATCATCCAAACTCACATAATCTATAATTATTTTAGTAATGTTGAAATAATTGAAGTATAGTAAGGTTAAACGAACTCCCCTACTTGTAATTTGAAGCCCAAAAGTCTGGATCTGGGCTTGGAAGTAAGATGTTTAGCATATCAATGTGGAGGTGCATGCGTGAGTACATGGGTTGAGAAGAATCAAACCCAGGTCTCTCAAACTCCTCCATCTCGTCACCCTCTTGCCTCCCATCAACAAAATTACAATCTTCTTGAGATTGAATGTTGATAAAACACTGCATTTCTCTGATCGGGGCAGGATCAGCACCATCATTGTCACTATCGATGACGATGACCTCGTCATCGCTATGGATTGCGATAACCTCCTCCACCTCGCTGTCATCAGAGATTAAATCTTTGACCTCACCCCAACCATCTTGAAATTCCGTCTCCGGAATGATAGAATCCAAGAAATAGTCATGCGGATCCATTAGATGTGGGCAGAGATCTAGGGTTCTAGGAGAAGAGGGAGAAAGAATTGGGTGGAATGGATCTGGGAAGGAGAGGAGGTGCGAGTTAAAGCAAGAGGGTATAATGAATGCGGGTAGGAGGATTGGGCGAGAAGGGCGATTTAATGAGAGGGGTAGTTTAGGAAAAGTGAGTTAGAAAACGTATACTGGGAACTTTATTTCCGGACGGAGAAAAGAGTAGACTGGGAACATAAAAACCGGACGGAGGGAGTATTAAATTTAGAGTAAATTCCATAATTAGTCCTTTATAACAGGGAGATTTTCCTATTTAGTCATCTATTATAAAATACTACCCTAGTGGTCTTTTTTTATGAGTATCTTTTCACAAATAGTCCTTTTTTATCTTCTATCATGTTGGTGTTAATTTTAGGGCTAAAAGTGTAATTTCACAATGATAATATATCTTTTTTATCGTACACAATCCTAAAGGTTGTTCCGTTTGCGTCGTTTGTGAATTATAGTTGCTCTCTACTACAACCATAGTCTACAAATGTGGTCTTTCGTTGGAATCCTAGCCCACAATCATAGTCATTATTTTTGTGTTATCCGCTTAACCAATATCAGAACACGTCACTGGACATAATGTTGATGTCAAATTATACTTTTAGCCTTTAAATTAACACCGACATGGCAGAAGATCAAAAAAGGACCATTTGTGGAAAGGCGCCCTTAAAAAAAGGACTACAGGAGTAATATATATATATATATATATATATATATATACACACACACACACACACACACACACACACACACACACACACACACACACACATATATATATAAAATTTATAAATTTTATAACAAAATATGACATTTCAAAATTATACTTAAAGACAAATCAAATACTCTCTCCGTCCCTAAATATTTGCAACATTTGTATTCCCTAGGAAAAATATCAAGTTTTTTCAATTCATTTTATTTACATATTGGTATAGAAATAAAAAATAAAATTTACATATAAAAAAACTACATGAAAAAGTTCTTCGAAATAAGAGGTATCAAGAATATTTTATTTTATCAAATAATCAATGAAAACATAGAAATAAACAAAAGTTCCCGCGACTGCTGAAAAAGTAAACGTTGCAAATAATTTGGGATGGAGGGAGTAGTTCAAATTTATATTATTATTCAACATATTGTTTTTTAAATTTCATGGCCAAAGTTTTTAATTTTGATCCTAAAAAATCAAATTAAAATCATTTTTTAGAACGGAATGATTGATTCAATTTAAAAACAATATTTTTAAATGACATTAGCATGTGTAGATGAGTTAAATTAAAAAAAGGATAAAGAGATAGGGTCATTATGCAATTTTAAAAGTTAAAATGATGTGGCTAAAAAGTCCACATTGAAGCAATTTAGTGGGAGGGCATCCATGCCCCTTCATTAGGAAAGGCACCGGAGAAATTCCCAAATTTTTATCTTAATCTTTTTTCGAGGCGCTTGAAGAAAATATAAGTCATGTTTTATCGCATGATCGCGTCGGGTCGAACTTTAAATAATACCATGATCCAAATTTTTAAATTAGGTTTATCTTGTAAAAACGAATTTTAAGAAATTGTATTAACTTATTGCGTAATTTTATACAATTTAAAGTTAAATTATTTAATAAATAAAGTTTATTTAATATAATTACAAAAGGTTAAACAGGACTAGGGAAATACTTTCCCACAAGCAGTCCAGCAATAGTTTTATTGGTGTAAAGTGATGTCTTACTTCTCTCCCAATGTATTTTTCATTTTTTGAGTTAAATTGAACAAAATATTAAATTTCAATTAAATAAAACTTGTAATCCAATTTTGCATTAAAAAAAATGTATAATTTACTTCGAAAAATTTAAATTGGACAAAAGAAGTATTGGGAGAGAAGGAAGTAGACCTGTGCAAACACGGATCTGGGTCGGGCTTAATACAAATTATTAGCTCATTTATATGGGCGGGCCTGCCCGGCCCAGAACTCATGGGCTAAATGCTTTGCCCATACCCGCCCACCTTACAAGCCAAAGTGTCCACCGAGCCACCCGGCCCAGAAAAACATTGAAAAAAGAGTTGAATGTTTAAGAAAAAGATCACCGGTCACCACACTTACACAGAAAGTATAAAAGAAGTATTGTTACATAATTAATAAACACATCATACTGATACATTAAAACACTATTGATTTTTGTTAAAGAGATGTGAATGGATTGGGTCATTATACCTCAATTATAGAAAATATTACTCCTTCCGTCCTAAAATATTCTTCCCACTCACTTTTTACCCGATCAAACTTTAATCACTTTCTTTACATATTTTCATTAGGTATTTGATAAAATAATATAGTCTTGTCACCACTTGTTTTGTAGAACTTTTGATGTAGTTTTTAAATATATAAATTTTATTTTTAAATTTTACACCTACAGTCAAACAAATTGAATTAAAAATAAAGTCGGTCAAACCTCGTAAAATGAACCAGGAAGAACATTATAGGACGAAGGGAGTAAAAATTACATGGACTAGATAATTCATAACAAAGTAAACATGTTTGATGAAAATGGGCAGACATGTTGACCCGGACGGGCTAAACATATATTTCCGATCCGCCCATATAAAATTCAGATTTGAGTCAGCTCGCCCACGTGAATATTAAAATATTCTATCAATTTTAAACGGTGGGCTAGGCGGGCCGGATTTGCACAAGGAAGATACGTAGTATATCCAAACTCTAATGAAGTATGATGCGATCACAGGCATGCCGCCCCCCAACCCACAACCCACTCATTTACTCTGCTAACCTCAAAAGTCAGTCATTCATGCATCACCAAAAGTCAAATCAGATCCAAAAACTTTGACATAATCACCATTTCCCTATTAATTATATTTTGGCCATCTCATCTTCTCTCTCCCGTTATAACTTGTATAAATACACACACACACACCTCATAATGGTTCTTTCCTTCTTAGTAACAACACAATGGACAATTCCTCCACCGTTCGAGTCCCCTCCCACGGCGGCGGCGCAACCACCGTGGTTCATATGATCAACCACAGCCTTCATCTCAAGTATGCGAAATTTGGTTACCGTTTCCTGGCTTCACACCTTCTAACCCTTTGTCTAATCCCGCTCTTTGCCCTCACTTTCATCCACCACCAAGATTTGCTCGTCGTCATGTCCCGACATCTCCGGCAAAACCTCGTCGCCGTCCTCGTACTCTCCGCTTTCCTCGTATCCGCATCCACCCTCTTCGTCATGACCCGTCCGCGATCTGTTTTTCTCGTGGACTACTCCTGCTACCGCCCCCCGGATCACCTCCGGGTCTCTTACACCAAGTTCATGGACCATTCCAGGCTCACCGGGGATTTTGACGACTCGTCGCTCGATTTCCAGCGGAAAATTCTGGAAAGGTCCGGCCTCGGGGAGGATACCTACCTCCCCGAAGCTATGCACAACATCCCACCCACCATTAATATGGCCTCGGCTCGGGCCGAAGCAGAGCAGGTCATGTTTGGTGTCCTGGATTCCTTATTCCAGAACACCGGGATCAACCCCAGGGAAATAGGTGTCCTCGTCGTGAACTGCAGCCTCTTCAATCCGACCCCGTCGCTTTCCGCCATGGTTGTGAACAGGTACAAGCTCAGAGGGAACGTCCGGAGCTTCAACTTGGGGGGGATGGGGTGTAGCTCCGGAGTCGTCGCAGTCGATCTGGCGAAGGACTTGTTGCGTGTTCACCGGAACACTTACGCCGTCGTCGTCAGCACCGAAAACATCACCCAGAACTGGTACTTTGGGAACAACAAGTCCATGTTGATCCCAAACTGCCTCTTCCGCGTCGGTGCTGCTGCAGTCTTGTTGTCCAACAAGACTGCAGACAGGCACCGCGCGAAGTATAAACTCGTCCACGTCGTCCGGACCCACAAGGGCGCGGACGACACGGCTTTCCAGTGCGTCTACCAGGAACAGGACACCGCTGGGAAAACCGGGGTGTCCCTGTCGAAGGACCTGATGGGGATCGCCGGCAGCGCCCTCAAGTCGAACATCACGACGCTGGGCCCGCTGGTACTCCCCATCAGCGAGCAGCTCATGTTCTTCGCCACGCTCGCCGCCAGAAAGCTCTTCAGGAATGCCGGAATCCGTCCGTACATCCCGGACTTCAAGCTGGCTTTCGAGCACGTGTGCATTCACGCCGGCGGGAGGGCGGTGATCGACGAGCTCGAGAAGAACCTCCGGCTCTCGCCGGTCCACGTGGAAGCGTCGAGGATGACGCTTCACCGGTTCGGGAACACGTCGTCCAGCTCCATCTGGTACGAGCTGGCCTACGCGGAGGCCAAGGGGAGGATCCGAAAGGGAAATAGAGTGTGGCAGATTGCGTTTGGTAGCGGGTTCAAATGCAATAGTGCTGTTTGGAAAGCTCTGGGCGATGTGAAGCCCTCTCCAAACAGTCCCTGGGAAGATTGCATTCATAAGTATCCCGTGGAATTGCCAAACTAAATTGTTTGAATACATAAATTAAGGAGTACATCTGTACATCTCTAAATCATAAAGATTGATGATTATGAGGGAATCTAAAAATGAGATGGATATATATAGGAAAAAATAATACTGCAGTACTCCCTGATAAATCAACTTAGTACAAAAGTCCCTCGCGTAATTTTTTTCTTTTTATCTAAAGAAAATTTGTTTTTTTTTTAAAAAAAAATTGTTAATAATTCTTGTTCTCTTTTTTACTCTTGGAAAATGTAATGAGTGTATATTTTGTACTTCCTTCATCCCATGTCACTTTTCGAATAACGTGCAAAATATTTTGACTTTTAAAATAATTTTTATTACAAATTGTATAAAAATAAGAACTACTCGGGTCTTGTACTCCGAAAGTAGATTTCATCAATGGGTAATTTACCTAAATAAAACTAAAAGATAATGACTTTCTGAATATGGGACCATATGTTTTTATTTCCCAATGTAGGATCATTGGTCATTATTTATTAGTCATTATTCAACTAAATGTCCAGCATCACTTAGACATTATTCTTCTCACTAGTCATTATTGAGTTCTATTTAGGGAATAAAAAAGTTTAAGGGGCTGTTTGGCAACTTCTGAATAGGCAAGTACTGAACCTGTAAGAGGTCTGAACCATTAAGTGCTGAACCAGTAAAAGGTCTGAACCATTAAGAGCTAGTATATTGCTTAACTATTCAGAGGCAAATGTCTGATCAATTCAGATAAGAGGTCTTAACCATTCAGACTCTGTATAATACTTAACCATTCAGAGGCAAATCCCTTAACCATTCAGACATCTGAACCATTAAGAGGCTGAAACAAACAGTCTGAACCATTAAGTGCTGAACCATTCTGACATCTGAACCATTAAGAGGCTGAAACAAACAGCCCCTAAGTCCTATATTGAAAAATGACCTGTGCAAATTTCACTTCAATCAATTTAGTCGTTGAGATTGAAAGTTATTTTAGCTTAACCAATTAAATTAAACACCAAAAAATTACACGGGTACCTCATATTTTCTGCTTAGAACTCGTGTGTCCCATATTATTAAATTGTTGCATTGAATAATCATTATTTTACAATATTTTAATAAAATCTTTAAATTTCTAAGTTAAATAGTTATTATCTTAGTTATAAAAAAATCATTTCCTTATTTATATTTTCATTAAAAAAATGAATTAAAATTTATTTTATTACATTAATAATATATTTTAAACTTTATATTTTTAAAAATTAAAGTATTTATAAATTTTGTTTAAAATACATATTTTACTTCAAAATTTAAAGTATTTTATTAAATTTTTGTTTAAAATAAATAGCTAAATGGATGGAATGTATATTACCACAAATTTTAAGCACCCTTAAAATATTTTCAAATATATGAGATCTGTGAGTTCTTAACAGAAAATTGAGGGTTGAAAGAGTTATTTTTTTGTTCAAAAATACATCAAAAATTTAACAAAAAAAGATGTGATGAAAAAATTTATTTTATCATATGATAAATAAAAATTTATAAACAAATAAAAATTATCAAGATAATATAATAGTAGTTAACTTTCCAATTTAGTTTTACACTTTAATTAAATGTAAAGTATAAAATATGACGTGATAAGTATATTAATTGTGAATAGAAATTATACAATAGATTGGATAAGAGTTAAGAGAGGTAAAATAGACTTTTTAATGAAAAGTAGAATTTTTTTATGGGAATAGTAAACAAGGAAAGTGGAATATTTTGAAGCAAACACCATAAACTAGTTTTTACCCCGTGCTTTGCACGGGTTCGCATATTTTTCTATAAAATATATCTATATGTTAACATAGATATTTTATGATAACATTTTGTATGTTTGTTAAAACTTCAATTAATACATAAACATAAATCTATATTTTTAAAATGGAATGAAAGGGGAATGGTGTAAAAATTTAAACAAAGAGTTGTCTTTTAAAAAATTTAATAAATTTTATATAACCTTTAAAAAAGTAATTAATTAATTATTAGATATTAAAATATATTTTAAATTGATTAAGGACATATTAATATAATAATTAGAATATGAAAAGTTTTATATATACAAATTTATGGTAATTAAATACAATAATCATGAATTTTTTTTAAATGAAAAATAAACTAATAAATGCCATTTGGACCCATAAAATGATGATACTATGCCATGTGGATAAAGAATTTTGACATGTCATATGCCACATGTCTCCACTACAAGTAATGAACTCTGTTTTACATATAAAGATAGGATAGGATAAGATCAAAACAAAAAAAAGTACAAAATAAGACTTATATATTTTTAATCCCCAAATAGGAGTTTGCAATTTAGCAATGTGATTGATGAATACCCTAGACCGGGTATACGGCCTATCAATTAACAGGCCCAGCAGGAAAGCTAAATAAGTCTTAGGGAAATGAATCACACACGACCTAGTGGGTAAACCATGGCAGAGCTTTTGAATAGAAGGGACGCCTCATAATTATAGTCATACTCGGCAGCAAACCTACGGTCGGCCTTTGTCCGCAAGTACATCACCAACCAACACTTGTGACAACGACCTTGATGTCAGTTTGAACTACGTCACTAGCCACCCCACCGCAATCGCATCTTAAGGCGGAGAACTACCGACAGAGATCGGAGAACCCTCGAATCCCTGCCTAGCACGTCACACGAGAAATTCCCTTGCATTCCATGCGGAATCCCAAAGATATTGTATGCACCAATGCGGTGATGCTGCCTAGCAATGTCAACTCCCCGCTTTACCACTTGGGTGAAACGTTTGGGACCAGGAATCCCGCGATGGATCCAAGTAGTTTCTGGTCCATGATGTGGGCGATGATGATGAGCCCAGCCATGATGGGCTTCTAAATGGCGATCCCCACTCAACATCCGGCGATGGTCCTGCACAGGCCCAGCGAGAGGAGCCACGAGTCATGACAGAAAACACGGAGTTTTTCGCATCGAGACTAAGAGAAATGATGACGGACCCGCGCGTCACCGCAAACCTGCAAGGCAAATGGACCAACCAGGATGCGGGACAACCTCACCAGCCAGACAACCGCGAGAAAGCACAGGAGGCACCAACGCCCGAGAACCTGGTTGCATGCAAAGAAGACAAGGCGGAGGAGCCAAGACCATGCGACCCCCTGAAGGAAGGACAAGATGAGAGTGAATTGCATGTATCCGTTTTCAGCCGGATGCGCATGCCTGCGAAGGAAAAGTTACACAACCGGATGAACACCATCGCCAGGGAACGACAAGCGGGTTGGATAATAAGGATCCGATGTGAGGAAATACGTTTTGCGCACCATCACAGCATGGCGGCAGAAAGACCCCGGCAAAATTTGACTCCAAAGTCAAAATCAACTTGTGGTGTGCAATTGAAGGGGATGGGGGACGTGTTCGGGTCGGGCCGGGGTGGGGGGTTTACCGGGGGGTTTAGAGGATGTAGGAACCGTCAATTTTACGAACGGGACACCTGAGCACTTCCGGGTCATCCAATGACATTGCCGGGCAATGTTATGTGTATTATATATGCGGAGTATGTGTTTGAATGATTGGTGATTTACATACATGCAGACGAAGGCGACTGTGCAGCGTGCAGATCAGTCAATAATAATATTGCATCATCAGAGAGTGAGTAATAATTACTTAATGAATTTGGAAGTTTTTCGATATATTCAATACGTTGGGAAGATCCAAAGCTCCAAATTCCAACAACGCCTCAGGACATACTAGCTACTTGTACATTATGCATGCATCCATGCATTTATATGCATGCAAGGGTTCGTTGCATACTACTCCTATAATTGCATGTATACATATACCAGCTGGTACGGTATGCTGTACTTTAAAACAAGAATTGAATACAGCAAGCACCAGATGCGTTTGTTCGTACAGTACGTACTGCTCTCTACGTACGGCATAGATAGGGAGGAGGATTATTGCTCTCCTAAGCTAGTGGTTTAATTTTGGCTTTTTACCCTCAAAATTAATAAAGTTTAATTTTAGAATTAATTAAACAAAGGTTATTTTAGAAGTTTATACAAAAAAAAAAATATGTATTAGATTTTTTTATTTTAACCATTAATTAAAATTTCTTTCATTGTTGATAAAACTTAAGATGGGATAAACGTCAATGAACTGGGCTATATACTCCCTCCGTCCATAATTAAAGTTCTTACTTTCCTTTTTGGTTCGTCCATAAATAATGTTCTCATTTCCTTTTTTAGTAAGTTTTCTTTATTAAAATGACCTAAATACCCTTTCTATTTCTTTTTTTCCTTGTTCCTTCGTGCACCAGCCCCCCTCCCTTTCTCTTTCTTCTCCTTTCCTTTTCTTTTGTCCTCTCTTCTCTTCTTCTCTAGAAACTTCCAATTCCTTCTCTCCTCTTTATTTCCTTCTTCTTCCTCCCTCTTTTCTTCTCCCCCTCTTCCGATTCCTCTTCTTCTTCTTCTTCTTCTTCTTCTTCTTCATTCTTCATTCTTCATTCTTCATTCTTCTTCTTCTTCTTCTTCTTCTTCTTCTTCTTCTTCTTCTTCATTCTTCATTCTTCATTCTTCATTCTTC